ACGTTTCGAGCAGTGAACTCAGAAATTGAGTGAGGCTGCTTCATCTGACTCTGGGCTTCAATTGATGGGTCATTCCCATCAATTTGTAATTTGGGCCATCGGCGAGAAGAGCAGTTTTAGTTTTTTGTTTATTTCCAAACGTCACACTCAGTCTGTGAGCACAGAGACTGATCAGGAAACACATGGTCAGAAAGGGTGCCATGGCTACGTGCCGGAAGTGGGTCGAGGGATAGGATTTGGGCCAGTGGAAAGGGGAGTCCTCGTGGCTGATTGCCTGGCTGTTTCGCCATAGGGTGATGGCTAGCATTTTGCTGGTTCGTTTAATCCGCCTCAACCATTTTTCATGTCTTCCCATAGCAACATGTGGCTTCCTCAGTTTTTGGTCGCAAATTATTTGTGGCGTTTACACCACCGCCATTCTGAGCGGTGGTGGATGCAGTGGATAATAATCGCCGCGGCAAGGGCCGCTATTATTCACTAGATGGCAGCGTTGGCGCAGAAACCCGAGTTGAGTGCATCGCAGGGCGATGCGACGCCCACACGCCGGTCAATCACTCCGTCACATGCCGACTCCCCGCCTTGCCTCCAATGTGGGATGGATGGAACACCGCCACGGCTTTGCGACCCTGGTGCAGGGTTGGTGGGGGTCCCCGGGGGTACGTGGCGGGCGCAATGGGTGCACGTTGGCCCGGGTCATACCGAGTCTGTGCACTGTCTGACTTGTCGGTGTCCCTGTGCCGCAACACCGGAATAGTTGGCGTGCCTCTGTCTGTACCAACTGGCTGACCGGGCACTGCGCCAAGGCCCCAAATTGGCACGGCGGTGATTCAGGTGGAAGTTCGCAGCGCATGACAATTAACGCCCCATATATATTTAAAAAAAACGATTACATGTTTTCGTGTCTACGTATTTTTTTGTATGATTTTCACAGAAGGTACCGTTCTCTGTGTTTCCAAAGTAGTCGGTGATGTCATCGTTAAACGCATCCATTTACTCTAATCGGATATCACACCTCTAATTTGTTAAATGAATGGAATGTCTAACCATCATATTCATTATTTTATGCCAACTAGCTTACAACTGAACATCCCACGTGCACTTAGAAAACCACAAAGCAATTACATGAATACTAGGCAGTTGTTTGATACAATAAACACCGAGGCCTGTGTATTGTGAAGTTGTCTAGTACTCTGTCACCCTAGCCGCTAGTCTACAAGTCAGTTCATGCCTTGTTGCCTGCTACGTAGATGCTTTGGGTTCTCTCGTGGCTCGCCAAGTTCTTGGTGGCGTCCCAGCGTTTCACAACATTTTGCCTGTTTAATTACTCTAAGGTCTGCTCAGGGAAAAATACCGCCCAAAATTGTTGTGGTTAAATAGCAAAGGTTCGCGTGTCCAAGGCTGTCCAACACCAACTTTAAGCTTTTTTGATAAGAAAAATAATTTAGAGTCGCATCACTCTCATAGTAATGTGCCTCTCCTGTGACATCACCAGACTGGGTTCACTGTGATTTAGAAGTGTTTTTTTATTCATAATAAAGGTTTTTGGGTTAGATCGCGTTTATTTATAAATGTGTCGTAACCCTCCACCACCCGACACGGCCAATCAGCAAAGAAAAGTGTCACGTTGACAAAAGACAAATAATTCACTACTTCAGCCCACCGGTGTGTTGAAGAGTTAATCCACATTTACAGTTTGAGTACGACGTTTCGCTGGTAAATACTTCCAGCATCATCGGGCAATTCGCCAGAATGGTAAAGCCCTCGCTTGCTCCCGGTTTTATATAGAGCAGAAGAGTGACGTCATCACTTAACTCATCAGGTGCAGTGATTAGAGGCGGGGGGCGGGTAATGTAATTATATAATCGATTAGTAATCAGTCATTGGTTATGATTAGTGATGAGTTGTAGATTAGTAATTCTTTAAATCAAAATGTAATGTGTATTATTTAATAATACGCTTCCAGGCCGCACTAATACACATTACATTTTGATTTAAAGAATTACTAATCTACAACTCATTACTAATCATAACCAATGACTGATTACTAATCGATTATATAATTACATTACCCCCCCCTCCGCCTCTAATCACTGCACCTGATGAGTTAAGTGATGACGTCACTCTTCTGCTCTATATAAAACCGGGAGCAAGCGAGGGCTTTACCATTCTGGCGAATTGCCCGATGATGCTGGAAGTATTTACCAGCGAAACGTCGTACTCAAACTGTAAATGTGGATTAACTCTTCAACACACCGGTGGGCTGAAGTAGTGAATTATTTGTCTTTTGTCAACGTGACACTTTTCTTTGCTGATTGGCCGTGTCGGGTGGTGGAGGGTTACGACACATTTATAAATAAACGCGATCTAACCCAAAAACCTTTATTATGAATAATATTGGTCGCGAAAGCCTACGTGTTAAAGTGTTTTTTTGCTGGTTTCACTAATGAACTTTCAAACCAGCCTGTATCAATGCATAAATTGAATATCAAGTATCGTCCGTTCATGCACGATATACTCTTTGTAAAACTCAAGTCATTTACAGGCTAGTATTATGTAAGCAAAACAACACGCCAATCCTGAGTTAATTCTAACATGGGGAACAAAGCTGCACGAACGAGACAAAAAAAACTGAGACAATATGAACCAGACTCTTTGGTTCTTTCGGGAAAGTCACGTAGGTATAGAATAAAATAAATCACGACGTTTCGGGCGCAACACAAGCATCCCAGATCGTATACATGGGATGACAAACGGGTTTGAATGGAGCAGCCATTGATTCCTGACAATCAAAATACTGTTATAGGAGGAGGGGTAGATTATAAAATATCTTGTCTTTACCAGTTAAGAGCAGTGTGTTCTGTGTTGTGTCTACCTTGAAGACCACCTGTGATTCTGCAAGACTCATCGGGGTGTTTACAAGTCTCGTGGGCCTGTCTAGATTGAAAACTCGTTTATTTACAACTGATATTTGTGTTTAGTTTGTTGGCCTTCATATTCTTGGGTCTTTCGGTAAAGTCACGTAGATAGGTTCAAAGAAAATAGCAAAAAAACTACGACGTTTCGATCACAACACAAGCAAAAAAATGTTCTCCTGATGACGATTGCTTGTGTTGCCATCGAAACGTGGTAGTTTTTTGTTACTTTTTTGTTATTTTCTTTGAACCTATCTACGCGACTTTACCGAAAGACCCAAGAATATGAATTCCTGCAATCGCGAAAGCTTTACGTCAAGATTGTTGCCCTTCCTATGCACCTCCAATTAGCATAGTTGGCTACGTGCGGTGCAAGAGAAGTACAACGTACACTAAGGATTCTTACGGCTTTTGGGTCAGATTAAGGGGTTTTTTTTGTGTGCATTCACAGTTTCTCTGGTGGTGTCGTTTTAATATTTGTGGTTATTTAGGCCTGCTGGGGACAGCGATGGCATTCACGGGGCATGAACTGGGTTAATTGAAGCGAAACGCCCTTTGCGTCGTGTTTAGAAACATTTAAGTAACCACCCGTTGACGGCAAAAAGATAGCGTCGATGCACAGCTGCGTCGCGCTCGGGAGATGTTGATGCGGGTTGTTGCACAGGAGCGGGCTGGGGGATCCGCTTGTGATTGTTGCTGTGAGTTTCAAGTACACTGGAGGTGTGATGGCCTATGCACATGTTGTGTGCACGAGCTTGCGTAGGATTACTGTGGATATCTGCTGGCCAGTGGCTCATAACCATATTTAACCATCGTGCTGCTGACAACTGTCCAGGTCTAAAAATAGCCGCCCCGTTGATGAAGAACAGTTTTTACAGTTTAGGCCACGACTATGGATACGTTTTTGTACACTCCCATATTACGCGGCGATGCATTTTTTAAATAAAATGTCTGCACAGCGTTTAAGTTGCAGTGGCTCCCCTCTTTACACGTGTCTATTCACATGGTTACTACTGGTGTGCATTAACCATAAATCACTACTTTTGTGTATTAACCATGAATTGCCACGCGTCGCCTGCTTCACAGCGGACGTTAGCGTTTCTTTGTTGGCATTTGAAGGGGGGGGGTAGGCCGTTGCGTGCCGGCGTCATGATATACATTTTAATTACGTTTACACCACCATTGACTTAATTTGGAAACATAGGCGTTGTCGCGCCTTACTGCCCTCCTGAAAAGAGTCTTGAGGCTCAGTGAACCTTTCCTGGGTAAACAAGCATAATCTTATTTCCCCATCCGTACGCTTTGTTCTATGCGTCAACGACTGGTCACAGCACACACACACGTACAGGACGGTCGTCACATCACATTGACGGCTGACATGTGCATCACTTTGGCGCACAGCTGCCAAGATGCATAGGGACGTCGTAACTGGAGTCGGGACGTCGAATGGTGCAAGCAAGGGCCCAGAGGTGGCGTGACACGTGCCGGCCTCGGGCAGGGCCGCGTGGCCCAGTTTCCAGCTGGTCGCTCGCCGCTTGCGCGAGCACTCTTGTTACGCGTACGCAGGCGCTTATGCGTGTGAGCGTACGGTGCCCCCTCCTCTCGTACAGATCGTCCCCCGCCCTCCGTCGCCAAACCCAACCCCCGACCCAGCCTCCGGCAGGTGTGATGGGATTGAGATTGAGACTGACAGCTGGCGGATTGCACGCTGGTGCTGTGGCTTGCCGATTGGACGGCCCGTGCCATAAATAGCATCACCATTACTCTCTCTCTCTGCATTGTGCCGCAAGCGTGACCTGTGGCCGAACGCAAATCTGGTGCGATGCTCGCTCGTTTGTGCCGAAGCCGCCCATCGTCTCCATCGCGACTTAAACAGCCTTGCCAGTGCTGCCGTAAGGCAGCCAGATTTGGTGCATCGTAGTAATTGTGTAAATAAACACGCGGTGTTTGTGGTCAGCAGTATGGAGCCGTGGGTGCAGCCACCATTTCCGTTAACGACTAGCAATGCTCGTCTGCACCCTGCCACTCGCAGTGGTGTTTGCGTTATTTTTGTCCGCTCCGATTTCCCCCCACGTCGCAGACAATGATCTAAGCATTTGCACATGGCGACCAACGCTCGGTGTGCAACCAGTTTTTGGTGCGAGTCGAACTTTGGTGTGCAGGGTGCGATGCAACCATTCCCCCTCGTTCAACGTCACTCCGTGTCTTGAGGCCGCCAATGAATCACACAATCGTTTTATTTGACGTGCAGCCCAGGGGCCTCCTCCGGTGCCGGGTGACCTCGCGAACAGCCGATCTGGGAGCCGGTCAGATCGATGGAGGCGGATCAACTGGCATTGACGGCCTACTTTATGTGTCGCGCTAACCTTGCAGATTGAAACTGCCCACAACGCTTCTCGGCAGCCGATGGTGTGCATTGACGGCGTTGTGCCACTATGATCGACGCCAAGCCAAATGGAATGAGACGGTTTACCCTCGTCGAGCCCCCGCCTGTTAATGAAAGGCAATCGGTGTCTCACCTCTGTGATGCCAGGCCTTAATTTCTCATCAAATATTTTTTACGGGTCACGTAGTCTGGAGGAGCTACCGCCATAGCAAGAGATTCTGGAAGTGGTGCGCCTGGTGGGGAAATATTTGCCAATGTTACCGACCCTGGGCAAAAGCGGCTGAAATGAATGACACTGCGCGGTGCTGAGGCAGCTGTCCCCTCAGCCACTTGGTAACAGCCACGGAGACCGCCGTCCAGGAAATCAGGCAGTACCTCTGAAGGAAAGCGTAGCGCTCCGTTTGTTTCCTATCTGCGGACAGAAAGTTTATGGCTAGTTTAGGGTTATGGTCAAGGTTACGGACTGGTGTATTTTGTGTTTGTGGATCGCGTGAAGCACGTCCACACTGGGAGATCGTGGTTTGAAATGGGTTTGCGTGCAGTTTACTAAGTTAATTTATTAGTTGCTGAAAACCATAGATCGTGATGGTCCATGGAGGCCACTTTTCAGCAGTGGATTCATCATAGTTGATGATACAAATGTTAAGCTGATTTTTGGTGTTTCGTCTCTCTCGCGGGTAATTAAGTCGCTGTCTTCAAATGCTACGCAGCATGCTTTGTTGAGTCCTGGAATTTAACTTCTATTGTTTTGCAACACAATTGCATACTGCCGAGCCATTAAACTCAATCGCGGCCCGTGGCTCTGTGATAAAGTGGGGGCCCTGGCCCCGACCCTTTCCTTTCGCCTAGAAGCATATCCTAGGGAACCCGGCAGGGAATCTAGGCAAGGAAAGGTGCTTGCTTGGCCTATGATTAAAAACGTTGAGAAAATTTGACAGAAGGTAATGAGATGGAGATAAGAACATGTGAGACAATAATGAATGCAAGTGTGTTATTTACATTAATAAATACAGATGTATTCAGTTTTCTTATACAAATTGTCCAAGCCATCACTTAAATACAAAATTCATCCAGGTTACGACGATGACTATATGACTCCATCCAGCCAAACAATACTTTCTGTTTGTGCAACTATAATGTAGATAAATTACACCATTTAGTTTGAGCTCCACATTTATGTTTAACTCATGTTGAGTTTGTGTTCATGTCTTGTGTGGAAAGGTAAGAGTGTGTGCTTGGTTATGGTAATTATGTGTAGAATTAGGGTCGGTGATTGTGCATGGTTATGGTCAGTATGAGTAAGGTTAGTGAGTGCTTGGTTAGAGTCTGTGAGTGTCAGGTATAGATATGCAGGGTTCGGGTCAGAGAGTGTAGGTTCAGGGTCACTGTGTAGGGTTATTGTGTGTAGGGTTTGGGTCAGTGGGTGTAGGGTTCGGGTTAGTGTGTGTATGATTTTCTGTGCAGAGTTGGGGACTGCGTGTGTCGTGTTTTTGTTTGCAGGGTCGGGGTTAGTGTGTGTACCATTAGGGTCAGTATAAAGGGGGTTGGTGTGTGAAGAGTTCGGGTCAGCCTGTAGGGTTTTTGTGTGCAGGGTTAGTCTGTGTAGGGTTAGGGTCATCGGATGTATGATTTTCTGTGCAGGGTTATGGTCGGTGTATTGAGGATTAGGGTCCGTGTGTGAAGGGTTAGGTTCAGTGTGTGTAGGGTTAGGTGTTAATGCATGTTGATTTGGACTCGTGGCTCGCGAAGAAGGCATGTCACACATTTTGCACAGATGCCCCTTCGATTTTTGCCATGAACCCTATTGACATGGCACACACACGATGTTAATTAGACTGGCGGAGGGTTCTACATTTAATTCATTAGTGTAATTTTCATTCATTCCAATGTATTTAAATTCTTAGCTTCTGGAGACTAGTATCTTATATCTTATTTTGTGCCTGTTTTCAAATGCTTTACAGTCAACCTGCAGGGCCATGTGTATGTGATTGGAAAGAACATGGTCTTAATGAAGAGCTCAAATATGATTAGCGCTGTGAAGTCATTTATACAGATTACTGTTGTTTGTCGGCCCAACATTTTTGCGAGCATTCAAAATTAGCACCATAAAGGCTTTACTAATATCATGCATATATTTATGTAGCCATGCAAACCTAGCTAATGTGACGCATTGAAGATAGACACAACAATTGAACATGCAAATTACCTCCAACACAGACTCTGGCATTTAGTGGGGCATGAGCAGAGAAGATAGAGTTCCCAGAGGCACCATGTGTTTTCACTTTATGGGGTTTAAAAATATATCGACCATTATGTGCCATCGACGTGCGCCGCACTGTACGCAGACGTGACATGCTGCTTTGCTGGCCTGTTTCCCTCTTCGCCTGTCCCCTACCCCCTCCTTCTCCCTCCACACCATCCCGCACCACTAACCTATATTTATCTTTTTATTCATTGACATGTTTTTTTTAATTCGGGAATTAAGTGATTTGCCAAAGGCAGATGCTACACCCCGAGCTATTTGCATCGCCAAGTTTGTCTCGAAATATAAACATGTTTTCCCACGTTGGGAAGGTATTGTGTGCAGCGAAGTCCACGTGCAATTGTTGAGTTTGCCGAGACTGCTGGGCCCCCAATTGCTTTGTCTCAGGCTATGGCCCAGTTCAGTCTGTTCTCTTATAACTGGTATTTTCATTACGCAAATTGGTTATAACGCGAATCATGTATTGCGGAACACATTTTTATAACGCGAATGTGAATTTGATATAACGCAATCAAGTTAATGGAACTAAGTTGCACGAGTAGGAATAAGAGGTTGTACGGCTGCCTCGGTGTAGCATCACACAAGGTGGGATGCTGCTGGATGCTTCTAGATGCTACCCACGCGCCTCAGTCTTTGTTCGGCCTGCGTACGCATCCAACATGTTATCGCAGACAGTGCTTTACCCTACATTATTTATTACAACGCATGATTCCCAGCCTTGACCGCCACCCCACATCTCCCTTTTTTTAATCCAAACGTACATTTCCATTTTTGTAATGCATCTTGAAGACGCGATTGCGTTTAGATGCCACGATTACTGTTAACGTGAAATTTACTCAGATTCCTCCACCCATGTCGGAGACTCCAACCAGGCTGACTTTCGTCTCATCCACACTGCTCATCCACCACACTGAAGGTCACAACACTGCTCATCCACCACACTGCAGGTTACAGCACTTGTCTCTAAGCTTCTTCACTTGCATTGCTCCGCTTAGAATTTCCTCCCCATCGTCTCTTTTTCCCAAAGCCCTTATTATAACTTTGCTCATATTCAAAGAAACGTGTCAACTCTCACCTAGCTGAGCTTTTTTAGTGCTATTAGTTGCTGGCCGCTTGACGTTTTGAGCCTTTGGGCTTGTGCTCAGTAACCGTGAAAGAAATATAAACGTATCAAAACTTGAAATGGTTGTTGTTGGTGGTGCGTGTAAAGGCTGAAAACACTGTCTTAGTTGTGCCGGAGTACCACTAATGGCCACTGGCTTCTCTTCCCCGAGTCTTTCCTGTATTTGTCGATGGCGTGCACTCCCGGGTCAACAGCGGATCTTTAATTGGTCCATTGTGGCTCACGAGAATCCTATTTTTTACGCATTTCAATTTCAATTTTTTGTATTAATATTTTGCCACTCCGTCTCTCAACTCAAACAGTGATGCAAGTAGAAATAACACCACACAATGGTGGTAGTGCTCGCAAATAGCAGGAAGGTTTAACTGCCATATATGTGCCTTGCGTGCATGGGCACGTGACCACGACATCGCATGTACAATGCTCTCAGCCTTGGCTAGACCACCAACTCGCCAGAGCTGAATGTGTGGCCGTGGTATTGTTGTAGGCGACCAACTTAGAAAGGGTTGAAAACGTCGCCATACCATCAGGCAGTGGTGAACCAAAGGACCGCTTTAGACCGTTTTTTATTTACAAAAAAGAAAACTGTTCACTGCTTCTTTGTGCCACCCTGAGTCCACATATGGAAGGGACTTGTACCTTTACACTATGAGGACCCCCATTATTAGCACTTGCTGAGGGGCAACGGTCATTCAATGCTAGCGCTCTGTGAATGATCAGAAAATGCATTGCGGGCTGTTGTGATGGGGTGCCTCGTAATTTTTACAGACAGTGTTGGATTTGATTCATAATTCATAATCGTTTTTTTAGTTAGATCATGTAGGTAAATGTACTTTCTTTATATAACCATCTAGCAGGCAACAGCCAATCAAATCAAGTTTGTCACGCGGAAAAATATGCCAATTAATTTAGTTTTTCAGCAAACCGGAATGTTGAAAATCAAGCTAAACTTTGCCAATTGTGTGAAACGTTTCGCTGGAGATGACAACTAACATACTCAGGTGTTAACAAGCTCAGCTCTCGCATGATTTGATTTGGTTGCGTGAGCTTGGCGCGGCAGGTGCAGTATGTGCGTCTCCCCTTGCTAAATTCGTTATCGGTGTCTTCTCGTGGCTCACTGGAGCAGCATGGTACTGAAGGCATCTTGCAGTGAATGCGTGGGGCTATTTGGTTGGGGTAGCACGGTTCAGCCCCTCCCCCCATCTGTTGGTTTGATAAATCGTTTCTATCCAAAGTCACAGTTTGATTGAAGAGTCCTGTGTTTTACTAAACATTGTGATGTTGTACCACATTACAACATATAGCATTCACAATGTACAGCCCTTTGTCAAACCATCGATGGATGAAGACCCCTCCGTGGCCATGTCACTCATGGGTGATTGTTTGACCATACTTCACCATGCTGGTCAGAGTGTGAGTTTGGGCGAGGCTGGGACCAGTTAAGTTATCTGTCGCTCCTTATGTAAAGCTATGGCTGGGAATGGAACTCCGGTTAAACAGATTGAAGGTGTGATGCATTAACAACTGCATCCACTCTCTACCACTCTATACATATGCGAGTGGAAAAGCATTGATTCTTACATGCGTGATTTGACGCATATATCGTGAGCGGTAAGAATCAACTGAGTGTCCTGGAAAAAAAATGGATAGCCCACACAGTCTCCATTACCCAGAGAGTGGCTTTTCTTGAGAGTAGGTGAATCAAGTGGATGAAAAAAGTGAATTGTTAATTTCATTGTGACCATATGTGGGCAAGTGATACAATATAAACGGGTCAACGGTGGCTTGTGAAATGTTCCAATGAAGCGATAATCTTTAAAGCACACGTATGTGGTGCTGTGGTGCAGTGGACGAGCAATTCAGAGGTCTCCGCGACAGCGCAAACAATGGGGAAGTTTCGTAAATCCCCCTCGCAACCGCCCTCTACCCAGCGGTATTAATGGGTACACCACAAGAAGTTGATTGGCAGGTCGTGTGTGGTGGGTGCATCGTGTGTAGGTTACTCCCACCTCTTCGAAGATGTCTGGCCAGTGTGGAGAAGTAGGCTAAAATGCTCTCTCCAGTCCCTCTCTGGAGCCTACTCTCGTGGTCGGTCTTCCACCAGCAGTGGCGTGAACAAGCAACTGCAGGGCTGCACCTTCACCTTGTATCATGATTTTTATGGTCACTGCTCAACTGTAAAGCAATGCATCGTTCCACCCGAAGTGTACGTGGTTGTGGTTAAAACATAGCTCTGGAGATCTAGCCGTATCGTTGCTCGTGCATGGGTGTGTGGAATTGTCACGGGTAGGTTTGTGAGACTTGGCCGTTTTGTAAAATGTTTGCGGAACTTCCCCAGGGCCCTGGCTCCGAGAAGTGAGGGCCCTGGCTTCAAGAAGTGTGGGGCGACCTGGCAACACCACACCTGTTTGCTGTGTCCATGTGCCGTCGATACCCACGTGTGCGATGTGCACAGGGACCCCCGCTTTATGCAGTGGCCCTCAACATGTGCCCTTTCTCCACGTTGGGATTCTTTGTCTCTCCTTGGTTCTTTCTTTATGTAATTGTTTCTTTGCTTCTTATCTCTCTGTCTCTCTCCACGCTTCTTCGTGTTTCTCATTTTGCCTTTCTCCATGCCTCTTTCTACGTGTCTCTCTCCATGCCTCTGTATATATATCACTCCACATCTCTTTTGTCTCTATGCCTGTTATTCTCTGTCTCAGGCTCTCCGTGTGTCATATCTCTGTGTCCGTCTCTGTATTGATCTTTATCAATGTGTCTCTCTGTGTGTTTCTCTCCTGTCGCTTTGTGCATGTATTTCTTTGTCTCAGGTTCTATGTGTGTGTCTCTGCCTATCTTGACTAACGTGTGTCTCCACCATCTGCAATGCTCCCCACTTAGCATTAACACAGTTCTGGCTGTGTCCCTTGCCCAATGGTTGCCCGCAAGCCGAATGAACCTCCTCGTATGTCTCTTGAGCACTTTAGCCTTTAACTGGAATTTACATCCTTGTGAATTGTGGGATGCCCCTCCATCTCACACCACAGGGCAGCACACAGCATTGTGGTCTTTAGTCTCTCTCCTCCCTATAGTCCAGTTTTCCATTTTTTTGTTTCATTGTAGTTTGTCGAGAAGGCATGTGGAGCGTTGGGATGTACCGACGGTGGCAGAGCTTTCACACGCAGAGAAGGTATCTACCCATGTGGTGGTGCTCAGTGGGATTGCAGAGCAGTCAAATCCGTTCCGGCTTTAATCGGACAATCCTTTTTCGTTATCACCCAAATCCCTATCGTGCCAGCCTTGGTTGTTGGCTTCATGCAGGAATTTGCGTGAAGTCACTCAAAGCAGAAAATCACCACCTGTGGTCTTTGTAAATCTAAAAATAAAAATAACGTGTATGACTAAAAGAAAAGAGAGCTTTGTGTTTGTACACCGTGGGGAGTGATGTTAAAACAAACCGAGGGTAAACGGTCATCGTGGTGAATTCAGATGCTCGACCCGAGCTTTATTTAATAAGCAAGTCTCATGAAACCCGCCTGTAAAATATAACCCATTTGCGGTGGTTTTATTTTACACTGCGTCAAAATTCAGGGGTTTCTCTTGATGATGAAAAATGTGCCTAAATGTTTCGGGTGCCATTGGGGCGAGCTAGCGACCGAGTCGTTCGCTCTCCGCCACGAACGAGTTGGTAAGGAGCAGGGTCTGCTGGACCCCCACGCTACTCACTTACACCTGTCGAATGTGCCACACACGTGGCCCATCCGTCAGAGCGCCGGCTCCTTGGCCAATGGGCTCGCCTGGCAAGGCAGGGCTGGACGGGAGGGGACATGGTGGGGTTTGCGTTGCTGTGGCCCGAGTTCCCCCCCCCCTCCCCTGCAGTCCCCAGTGGGTCGGGCCCCCCGCTGGTAGTCACCCTACCCCTCATCTCTCGGGAATGGGGCGGTCCTCACTCTAGCGTGGCGCCTATCGTCGTAGGTGCCACGGTCTCGCCCGGGATAGCAGCAGCAGCTGCCGCCACAGCCACCATCCTGTCGTGCAGCTCCAGTCTTCGGCGTGTGTCGCTGTCCGTCGACACCGAGTGTCGTCCAAGAGTGGCTGTCGTTAATGACTCTGGGCTCTGGACCGATGGTGCTGGTGTTTTATCGGCGGTGAGAGAGGTCTGCGTGCGTGCCCCTTTCAGTAACGCGACCAGCTCACCGACACGAGAAGTTGTCGCCGTGTGTGTTTACCATGTGCCATGCACGGTGATGCCATCGTGGGCCAGTGTTAGGCTAGGAACGATACACCGATTAGCATTTAGGGCTTGCTTGTTTTTAGCGCTTAAATAGTGTTTCCCGTTCATTAATTAATATTGATTATTAAGCACACAATGCATTATGCATTTAATTAATTAAGTCTGAGTTGGTGTATTTTTATTTCGTGTATACAGTACAGGCAGACCTTGCTTAGCGTTCAACATGCGGAGAAGTGAGCGCTCATCCAAACAGCGCTGAAATGGGTCATTGTACCATTGTATATTTGGGGATGCGTTCCCGACAGCGTTATTTCTTTCGTATTAACAATATATGAGGGCTTCATTGGAGTATCGGTAATAGTGCTAATAACAGATGGTAAACATTATTTTACGAATAAAAATAATTTATTAGAATGACATTAAGTATTACGCACTGTACTTACAAATTAATTTTACTGTACTCCTACAAGGCAGCAGTGGGAGACGAGGTTGTAGGAGCTGCTGCGGAGAAGAGCTCCAGGACCTCTGTGATCTTAGTGATGCCTTCCGTCTAAATTTATGTGGCGAAGTTGCTCTTAGGTGAGACTCTATCCCGGTCTCGTGAGTTCTCATCTGGCCACGAATCGTGATAATCGAATCGTGGGGGGTGGGTGTCTGGTTGGTTCAGCATACTTTGCTCTCTTTGGCTGAGCGAATGATGTGGGCGGGTACATTTCCTTGGCCAGTTCTGAGCATTATTACTCGTAAGTGCTTGATGTTTTTATTTTCTTCATTATGTTTTGTGAAAACTTTCTCCAGGACAAAGAGCGCTATAACGATTCGACGTTCTATGGGGTCGCACTAAGCGACGGTCTGCCTGTATACAGGTGCATGTAAATAGTTCACATAACCTTTTCAGCCACTGGAGGAGCTGTCATACACTACAATTTTTTAAACAAAATAATTGAGGTGGCCAGGTGGCTCAGAGGTCAGAGTGCTGAGCTTGCAACATGAAGATCCTGAGTTAGATTCCTGGTTTCAACTGCCCGTGATTGAACAAGGTTCGCAGGTGTAGTGAGGTGATGGTCTCAGGCAGGTCGTATGCTAATTTATTTTGCAGTTCATTTGGCTAAATGCCAGGTTTGAGAATTTTATTTGAATATAGGTTTGACTGTCATGCAATATTTATCTCTAAATGTTTCTCACTGTAGCAGGGCAGGTGGCAAAGTGCTGCCTGATTGTGTGAATAAGATGTCACTTTCAGGGATCTTGGATGCAGTTCTTTGATATCTCATCCAAGAGCCTTTCTTTAACATGAGGGAAGGGGTAGGCAGTGCACAGCTCTGTGAGCGTTCTAAATAATATATTCATCTGGCACAATGCCAATAGCACAATTTGGATAGTTTGACGAATAAGACAACCTTGTAAAAAATTGTTATCGATTCTTAATTCGAAATCTGAACCTTGCATCACAATAAATTGGAGGAGTGGGCAATGAGGGGTGGTGAATCATTTAATCTATAGCCATCACTCTATAAGTAGGCCCTTATTTTCCTTGTATCGCATTCAGCATATTTGTGTCGGGGCCTGAGGGAAGCCCACACAAATGCATTTTTGTTCTGTTTTTTGTTTAAGGAGGCTAGTTGCTTGGAATGCGATTATCGCCATTCCGCCGAGGTGCGTTTGTTGGCTTAGGGATAATGCATGAAGGGACGAATTGTTTGTCAGGAACGCTCGAACGCCACCAACGGTGACACCGGACAGCGGGAATCTGATTGGAGCAAAGGTGCGGCCCGGAGGGGCCTGTCTTGAGTGAGGGGGATGGTGAGGAGGCCAGACTCGCCTGTTGTTGTGGGGCCAGGGAGGGAAGCGGGCCTCTTGTTGCTGTGCCGCGTATGCACGGAGGCGGTGGCGGCTCGCTATTGTGTGACGGCCGGGGCCCTTGGGTATTCTTACCGCGAACGCAGCGGGAGCCACTGGGAACATTCCGCGGGGGTCCCTTACGAACGTCGCCGACAATCACAGCCTCTGCTGCCAACGTTGCTATTATATGGCCTGCACACACCGGCGTGCCTGTAGTAATATTATGAATAATTTCTCATATTTAATTTATTAAATATCAATTGGGTGTGCGGAACGCGCGATGCGTGCCCACAGGCAGCCTTTACACCCCAACACCACTGCCTCTTCCCCACCCGTCTCCCCCCATCCCCCTTCAACGTGAACGCAATGGTTCGCCCCACCGGTGCAGGCAGTGCTTCTGCGAGGCTCGCTGTGCGGCGAACGGACAGACGTTTCCTGGATCTCCGTCGTAGCGCACTCGGCCTAGCCGATTCATTACGAGCCAGGTATTGAGGGAGGGGGGAGGGAGACAAAAAAAACCCCCACAAAACAAACAAAGGCAGAGGAATCAAGACAAAAGCCAAGGTGGGAGGACCGACGCCACTCGCCGCCACTTGCCGTTGCCGCGACGGTTTGCCATCGACGCCGAGCGCTGCCGGTTTGGTCACCGACATCTCATGTCAGTGCATCCTGCCACCAGCTCCTCTCCACAAAGGTACTGTACACCGTGTTCACTGCTCGCCTCGGCGCTACTGCATTGTGGCGGCTGCACCCCCCTCCTTTGGGGTGACCGTTAGGTGCACGTTTACCCTGAGGCGGTGGGGGGGGTAGCGTGCTGGCCAGGCGGAAGGTGCGGTGTGACCACAGTGGTGCTGGCAGGCCCCTGGGCCAGGGTTGCCGCAACTGTTATCGGTCAAGTGTCAACCGATTAATTGTTGGGTGGCTTGACAAGAGGCTCGGCCTGTTTGCCCAGAGCAGCCTGCAAGGAGAGCGATTGACTCGCCGATGTTAGATGAGGGTTTGTTTATTCACTGAGGAGTTAGTTACGTGCATTAGGGGGAGTGCTAATGATCTGGTGGTGGACACTGCTGGCCTGTGACCCCGTAACCTCATACCCCCTGGGAGTGGTGAGCATTATCGAGTTTGGGTCACGGATCCGCCCTGCACCACCTGTATCTCCCGTGCTCTGAATCTCACTCGTGAACGAGCAGAGAGGTGCAGCAATAGACCGTTAATGCATTTATGCAAATCTGACAATCTTGACTAATCTCAAGCTGTCATCGCTTAAGCAGCCACAAGTGCCTTTGCTCATCCATCAGCCTCGTGTCCATTGTGCGATGAATAGAATCGCGCATCAGAGAAACGTCTCTTTAACCGTTACGGAATAAAACCTGCAGAAAAAAAATTATTGCCGCCTGCCGTTGATGGTGGCTGTGTGAAGAGCCATCATAGCTCATCCCCGCACCGCCCCTCCCACCGCCGCCGCCGCCGATTGTTTTTGCCGAGGCTGGAGTGGCCGTGCCCCGCGGTGCTCGCCCTGCCACTTGGTAACGGGAGGAATGCATCGCCGTGGTGGCGATGGCGCCTGTCCTTGCGCCTCGGTCACAGAAGCGGTGAGCTCCCGGGACGCCTGAGCGGAATGAATAATGGCTGCACCGGAGCGGTAGTGTCTCACCCCGTCGAAAGGCCATGGTCCGCGTCCATGGCAGAGAGGAAGTTCATTTGAGACATTCCTGGCACAAGGGCCAAGCGTGTGTCTCGCTTAGACATGCATCACATTCGCCTGACAGGTCGACGTGTACGTGTACAGCATGTATAAAGTCAAACCATTCAGTACCGGTCTCCTTTATTGAACCAGCATGTTAAAACCACTGAGACGCATGGAACAGCATTCCATGAGAGACCTGGGTTTTTTTAAAGGCTAAGTCCTATTGTGATGGCCGCCACCACCCGCCATATAGTTTCATCTGTTTGGGTGGTCATTAATGGGTTGGGGTCACAAGTCAATGAAAGCATTACGTGTCTCTATTTCCTAGCATGTAGAATGCAAAACAGTGAATTTATACAATTTGTGTCCACTGCTGGATGATGGCCTCCCCCATGCCTCTGTCTCACAACGCTGGCTGGAGTGGGGTTGGTGAAGACGGAGAATCGTAGATGTGGAAGCATATAAGTACAATCAAGCAATAGGTAGTAAGTCCAACTGAGTCGCAGACGTTGTCTTGGGAGCAACACTATTTATTCAATAAGTCAACATAACCTAACACAACCGACACTTGGGTGTTAAATGCTCATCTAGCCATGCTACAGCAGAACTAGACACGGTTCGCTATCCCGGCCCGGACCACAAGCTGAGGCCTGGACCGTGTGGCTAGAGGCTTCTTTTACCCGACGTGGATCTTCATCACCAGCAACACGAAGAACCCCGAGCTTCTCATGGGGGGCCCCCGTTATATCGGCCTCGGCTGGGGCTGGCTCCGCCCCTCGCCCCGCCTACCTTCTAGATCTCTCGAGCTCTTTCCCAAAGGCTCCCGAGAGCTCTTTTATACCACGTGACCGCCCAGCGGCCCCCGTCCACCGGTGGCTCCCCTCCAATATCATCCGGTCACGTGTCAGCAGGTCAACTAGCGTATCATGCCCCAACGTAACCTTGTCTGGCTGACACTCTCTCTCGCTCCCTCAACGGGAGCCCGCACCGCACACTGTACATGGTGCCTTCGCGCTGACCAGCGCTCACCCAAGCCCCGCTAGGGCTGGTACTACGCCCAGTAAGCGGACTACACAACGCCAACACACTATCCACCGTGGCTTCGTAAGCCCGGCACCACACAGTGACAATCACAGTTACGACAAATAGATTATTTTACATTGCTCATTACTATCCACATTGTAGCCCCGAAATCCCTGTTTTTGTGTGTGGTGGTCACCCATCCAATTACTTTCCAGGCTCAAATCAGCTTAGCTTCTGAGTTCTGTATACTTACAGGTTCATATTTTCACGTTGTGAATTGGTGAGGCCGCCCCATACCTGCCCATGCGCCCGGGCTGATGTTCTCGTTAATTTATTCTCACGTTGTTCAAGGCTCGTTAAGC